CGACGTGTGTCAGCGTTCGTCGTCATAGTCGTCACGTGACTTCGGGAGAGCCTCGCCTCACCTGTCAATGTGCGCTGAATGTCCTCCGCATGGTCCAGATGCCTCCAGTATCTGCTCTTCTTCACAGGTCATCCAATAGCCCAGCCTCTGCCCCTCCTCCTTTCCCAACCCATAACCCAGCCTCTACCCTTCCTCCTTTCCCAACCAGTACCCAAGCCTCTGCCCTTCCTATTCTCTCCCTAAATTTTCTCCTGCCCTACCATTCCTCGTTTCCCACCTCATACGTCAAACTCCCTTCCCCCGGCCATACAATGGCGAGTGAAATTGTGCTAACTTAGCTAGTAAAGTTGCTAGCATAGTGTTTTTTTTATCCAGGAACTTGCCTGGAAGATTTCGGTCCACGTATTTCCCAGCGACTGCACGAACTTGTACTGCTCCCACTCCGATGTAAAGTAGAGCACCCAGTGCGTGTTGTGTGTGTGCCCACCCAGCGAATGCATCTCCTGCAAGGACGACAATGCAGATTGTTTACTTTGTAAGGAAGATCTGTAGGGGGACTGAAAAGACCTAAAACATTAATTTGGGAAGTTAATTAAGAATAAGGAAATTACGCATCCAGGAAGAGTATTACTTTTTCTTCGATATCTTACTTATCGTGCTTATATCCTATTTGTGCTATATATTGCTTGACACTTCAGCAGTACTGGGCCTTGGTCAGTAATGCTTTATTATATACACTCATATGCACATAAAGGAATGCACTCAATCATCAGCACTCAATCAGTTTCGAAAATGAAAGCACTAGAAAGCTATAAAATTGTTTATTCTTAGGTCGTAAATGCATATATATGTGACAATTTTAATGATTATATTCTTCTAACTACAGTTATATGCAATCTATTAGTGTGATTCGATAACAAATGTTTGCAGTGGTTTCTACCTAAGCACAAAAGATGTACACCAATGGTGTTACTAGCCTTGGCTAACTCACGACCACCTGTCAAATTTAGAACCAAGTCATACACGGTAGCTTTTTTGCTCCCGAATCAGTATAACCAATTACTTCGCACAAAATGTGTGGAGAAACACCACAGACACGAAAAAACAATTGAAACACCAACGTTCCAAACTCAATATAGTTGATCTAGAAAATAATTTGATCCATGTGTGCTTAAAACGGCATGTTCTCGCAGCAAAATGCATAGATATACCTACTGTGAGCTCGTTCATGTTGTTACAAGTGCCGCAGAGCGATAGCGCTCAACTGACGTGTACTGTAGCTGGGTATTCTGCTGATAAACTCACTGGCAACCGAATCATGTGCGCCCTCCCGCCACCACGTTTGCGCTCAGAGCATATATCTAGGATACTACTAA